GCAGATGAGGTGGTTTTCCTGCTGTGTACCCTGTGGGTTTTCTTCGGGTACTTCGGTTTCCTCCCACATTCCAAAGACATGCGTGGCAGGTTGATGGAACACTTTAAATCAGGGGTGTCAAACACATTTTTGTTGCAGGCCACATTGTAGTTACGGTTTGCCTTGGAGGGCCGTTATGAATTTGGGGAAACCATCCAAATGTTTAATCACCTCCACATATTACATACACAGCGCACAACAAATTGATGAATAACTAGTTTTAGAATCAGAAGTCAAGAATAATGACTGTTATTGTGGATTACGTATGACAATTTGTAATTTTGGTTCAGAGTTTAACCAGCATCAGGGAACTTGACATGCTTGATTTGTTTTCACGGGCCATATAAAATAATGTGGCGAGCCAGATCTGTCCCCCGGGCCTTGACTTTGACACTTGTACTCTAAATTGTCCCTCGGTGTGAGTGTGAGCTCGGATGGTTGTTTGTCTGTGTGTGCCCTTCGATTGGCTGGCAACCGGTTTCGGGTGTCCCCCGCCTACTGCCCTAAGACAGCTGGGATAGGCTTCAGCACCCTCCGCGACCGTTGTGAGGATAAAGCGGATAGGAAAATGGATGAATGGATGGAGGTAGAGAGAGGAATACTGAGCTTGAGGAGAAATTCAAGGATGATGGTCTTAAATGCATTTCAGATTTCCGAGCAGCCTCGTGTTGACTGCATCAGCCAGTGAGCTATTTGCCCTGTAGGCAAACTGCATAGGGTAAAACAGGGCATTCAGTTGCTCTTTGGGTGGTCTGAATGAGGTATTTAAAGAACTTTATGACCACAGATGTTATATTGGCAAACTTGTAGTCCCAAATGACACGTTTCGAGAGAACAGGGATGCAGTTAGAGCCTTTGCAGTGGGTGCACTTCATGTTTAAGATCTGAGGGAAAACTGGAGCCAAGTGATCAGCTCAGACACCTCATCTGGACCAGAAGCCTTCTTGATCTTTTGTCACGTGAACAGTTGAGCGACATTTTGTTCTCGGATGATGAAAGCAGTTTGGGAGGCAGGCGGCCAACCAGAGGTGTAATGAGGGGAGTTCTTTCAGATCTTCAGTAGAACATATTTACAATGTCAGGCAGGTCATGTTGGACTCCACGGGGAAAAATGTTCATGACCTCCAGATTTCAAGGAGTCATTCGGGAAATAACAATCACGGCAATTTTGCAATATTAAAATTGCCATGATATTGTCGTTAATGTTACGATATTAAAAGCAGCACATCTGTTAAAAAGGTGCATTTGTGCAGTTCCAACCCCCTCTGGAGGTTAGTTTATTGGTGCAGTTTAATTTGAATTTGGCATGTTTTGGCCACTTACATTATTTAAGACCCATGCAAGTCACCAGATGAAGAGGAACCTAACACGGTTGAGTTCCTCCACAAATTGACTCGATTCACGATGTATGCGTGCATTAGCAAGTGCCTCAAAATTAAGTGGTATTCATGATTGTAGGTCGATCATGTACATTGAGGTTAATGTTACCTGTAATATTTAAACTATATGTATTATTATGACCTCAGCAAATTACCATTGTATCGATAAAATATTTGCATGCAATTTCCCTTGATTATTTTATTTGTATTTGTATTTTTTTCCCCGACAGAATCCACCCTCCCACACACACACACACACAC